CAATCAAGGTGTCCTACCAAAAATGAACCTTCCAAATACACTGAACTCTGCTATATATTTATTTATTAAATCCATCCACTAAATACCCAAGCATTATATTCCCCCCTCCCCCCCCCCACATTAAGACTTGTTTAAAAAACACACACACAGAGGAACAAAAACTACATAGTAAAATACTGTATTAAAACAACAACAAAAAAGACTAGAGTGGCTTTATGGCTATTATAAATGACAATATGAAAGAAGTTAAGCTGCCCTATGCTGGAAGGGAGTGCCCCCTGCTTACTAATGAGTCCTTCCATAAGGTCCCTACCCGTCCAACTGTTCAAACTGGGGAAACAGAGAGCTGGTCCTGACAGTCAATTCCAGGCTGGTTTACAATGGCCCTTCATATTTTTTGGTCACAAAGCATTTAGAGCAGGGGTATACAACCTTTTTTCACCTAGTGGGAGTGGCATACTGGGAGCTGAACTCCAAAACAGTAGTATGTGGGGCTGGGAGAAAAATCAAATTTGATTTCATTTCACTCAGATTTAAATAAATACTCAGTTTAGAATGGAACTAAAGCTAGTTGATACAATTCTTCTCCAATAATAAATTTTAAAATGTCCCCTTTCTGTCCCACTTGAATTTGAATTAAAATTATGATTTGGCAACAATATTTTACTCCCGCCCCCAACTGGACCACAACCTATGATTTTTGGAGCCACACAAAGACCTGAAGTATCAGATTATGCACTTCTGACTGAAACCTTTGTAAATTTGTGGGAGCCACAGATCCCACCTCTTGGGATTCTGTTACCGCAACATGCAGGCATGAGCAGGTAAAAGAGCTGCAAGGCATAATTACCAGCGTGCTGGCATTAGGCATTTGGAAGGCTGTGGAGGTTTGTCACCATTTCAAGCAGAGAAACATCAGAAGAAGCTAGTAATTGAATGCCTTTGATTTTTGTGAAGATGGAGGAAAGAGAAAAGGATGTGTGTTCAGGACCCAGGAGAGAAGGATCAAGATGCTCTTTGTCTCTGGCCAGCAAAGAAGAGACAGTTCTCTCTGCTCAGCTAGAGCTGCTGATCAGTTGCTATGTCTCTTGAGCTCCCTAATGTCTGATGTCCAAATAGATCCCAAGATCATAGCATTCAGATGTTGGAATAAATCTGAATATAGTCAGAACAACCCAGATGAATCATGGATGCTTTAACCTGGATTCAGAAGGGAAGGGAGCTGTTCATCTGAAAGAGTTCAGTGTGGATTCCACCTGGAAGCATCCTTACTTATGCAAAACAACATTTAACATTGTAGTGCCTCTTCTGGAGTCTTTTGGGGCACTTCACATCGCCTCTCCCCTTTTTTGCCCTTCCAAAAAAGTTGGTGTTACTTGCATTCTTAACTAACTTATTGCCCTGCATTGTGGATGAACTGATCATAACACAGTTCTCTTCCAGTCCTCCCTCCATCAAGAGAAACATTCAGAGGATAGGACTGTTCTCTTCCCCCAAGTCTGTGGTTGGTTCAGAGTGAGGGACTATTGAATATTCTTGTGAAAATTTTAGTAAAGAACCATGGGTCTTACCTATCTACTCAAGCATCCCAACACTTCGTAATGCTTGTTATTATTATTTCAAGAAACAATCAAAATAATTTCCCTTCTCTTTGTTATTTCTTTTCTTTTTATAAACTGTGATTGAGTGATTGAGTGATCCCATAAGAGTGGGCTGCTGTAAGTGAATTAAAATCTGGACAGTTTTAATAGTGTTATTTTTATTATTATTTTGATCTGTACGGCCGCCCATCTCACTTAGTGACTCTGGGCAGCTCACAACAGATCGAAAAATGCTAATAATTTCAGCTGATAATGCTCAAGCACATTGTTCTACTATGCTTCAAGCATTTTCCTTCTTGTGTAAATCAAATCACTAGTGCTTCCCTCTGGGGAGGGGGCAATTCAAGATCTAGTTGACTGCATTCATACAGGCTTTTTCCCCTTCGTGTACCCCGACTCGTTCCTTCGTTTACGGCTCAAGGTACTTTTCTTCGTACGAATGCAGCCGATCAATTACAACGATAAGCCCAGAGCGAAAAATTTCTGAAAGGAACAGTTAAGGCATCGAGATGGGTCCCCTAAATCTGGAAAAAGCTCCTGTGGTTCAAGCGAATGGCGCTCAATGAGGGCGACCTGAAGCGCCGCGCCTGCCTGAAGCAGGTGACGGGCCGGGAGGGAAAGTGGGCTCGGCGGGCAAGGGGAGGGACACGCGACGGCACGGCGACCTGACTGTCCTCAGTCTTGGGGGAAGGCTTTCCCGTCGGCGGTCTGGTCCCGTCGGGACTCGCCCCGCCACCGCCCTTCCTCGCTGGGAGGTTCCTCCGCTCAAGCATAAAAGCAGCTCTCGCGGTCCGCCGGCTGCGGCAGGGAGCAGCTTCTGTTTGCGACGCGCGAGAGCGCTTGGAGCCACGTCTGAATCACCCCGCGAGGAAGATGGAAGCCACGCTGGGCTACTGGGACATCCGGGGGGTAAATCCGTGTAGAGGGAGGCGGCGGGCCGAGCAGAGGCGGGCCGGGAAGAGACAGTTGGAAAACTTCCCTGCCTTGGTGCCTGGCTCCCGCCCAGGACTCGGCGCTCTCCGCCTCCGGATCGAGCGATCGAGGCCGAGAGGCGGCAGCGGAGGGGCGAAGGCAGGCGGGCAGAAGCGTTTGCTTCTCGGTTTCAGCCGTCGGTGAAAGCAAAGTGGAGGGTTCCTCCCGCGGTGGGCGTCCTGCAGCGGGCTGTGGCACGCGGCGCTGTGTGAACCCGACTTCCGAGTCACGCAGCATTGTTTAGTTTGGGCTTCGCGTGTGTAACGGCTGGGTTGGAAACCCGGTCATGAGGCTTATTCAGCCACCCGTGGTATGAGGACTGGAACCAGTCTGGTGTACTGATAAGGCACCAGGCTAGACCAGAAGACTGTGAGTTCTAGTCCCGCATTTGGCACGAAGCCAGCTGGTTGACCAGTCACTCTCTCAGCCCTCAGAAGCAGGCAATGGCAAGCCACTTCCAAAATCTTGCCAAGAAAACTGCAGGGACTTTCCAGGCACTCACCAGGAGTCATCCCTGATTGGAAGGCACCCCACCCCCCCAAAAAAAGCAAAAACCAAACCTCATGAGGGTAGCAGCCAGTGACAACCACAAATATGAGGACAGGGTGAGAAGCCTTGATGGGATGAACGCAGGGAAACCTGCCTGTTTCCTTTGGGGCAATTGCTTGTCTTGGATGCAACCTGCAACCATTAGGGGCTCCTGCCATCAGACCCCAGACCAACCTACCTGGCCCTCTCTTCTGCTCCCAGCAGCCAGTTTAAGTACCTGTTGGAAGCCCACCAGCAGAACATGAGCAAAGCAGCACCCGCTGTTCCTCTACACTTGATACTGGAAGCGAATCTCAACTATTTCAATATTTATACATCATTTAAAGCTGCCTTTAGGAGCAGTTATGAGTACCTATGAATTGGCTTACCCACCATGATATTCCTTTCCTGCAGTTGGCCCATGCCATCAGACTGCTCTTAGAGTATACCAGGACCCCCTATGAAGAGAAACGCTATGTTGTTGGAAAAGAAGGTAAGGAACTAAACAGAAGCTGTGAACTTCCAAGGAGACTTGTCTAGCTAATTCTGGGAAGAGGATGCTGGGCTGCCCAGAATGTTTTCTGAGCTGGCATGGCGGTTCTCTCCAGGCTTATAAATGTTGAACAAATATTGGATGTGTCTGGGCTTAGCAGATTTTAACTTCACAGTTTTTAACTGATTCAGTGAAGACTCCAAAACAACACACCCTATTTTTAAGTATTAGAATTGCCTGGATAAATAAAAGCTAGCTGGTATCTGTAACACAAATATCCTTGCTGAACAATATTTACAATGGTCCTTTTTTCCACTGGTGATTTAGATATATGAATAACAGCAAAACATCTGTTAGTCTGTTTCAGTGGCTACACTGCAAACCTTTGGTATTCTTGATCTTTGATGCATATTTCTGTAAAATTGGTGGCACACTGATATTAGACTGATAGCTTCTATGCCCTCTTGAACCTTAGCACAGCATAAACAAACCCTAATGATACCCATTGTCTTCCTTGTCCCCATCTCAAGAGTGGGCAAGCTTAAGTCATCATTAGCTTATCAGTATAAAAATAATATTTTCCCCTTCTTTTGACACTGTCCAGTGGCAGCATCAATGTGTGTAAAAGCTGTTAAGCTTTGTCATTCATTCCCTTGGAGACAAAGTCAGTTGACCCTTTCTACTGTACAGGTAGTCCTTGTTTAGCAGCCACAATTGGGACTGGGAACTCAGTCATTAAGCAAAGTGGTCGCTAAACGACTGTGCTTATGATTTTACTACAGCTTTCCTTTGCAGACCTATGAAGGTCATAAATGCAAGGATTGGTTGCAAAGTTCTTTTTCATCACTGTTGTAACTGTGAACAGTTGTTAAATGAGGCAGTCGCTAAACTACCTGTATGTGTGAATGGAGGTATGTTTTGGGAGTTCGGGGAGGTGAAAGCTTACTCATGCCCCTTTGATCACTACCCAGCCTCCACCGAGCCATTTATATCCAGCCTTTGCCCTTTCCATTAATATTTTGTTTCCTGAGTTCCTTTCATATCTGTCACCAACTCCTGCACAACTCTTCTCCAGGGGGCAGCTTCTGCAGTAATCTACAGTAATCCCAAAATGATGACATGTGTGGTGACATCATCGTAATTACTGCCCTTACTTAATTGCACCCCAGCACCTGATGCAAGTATGTTATTCACCACATCCATTTTTGTCATTGCCCAGTTCTCCCTGCCACAGATGCTTATGTCTGCAGGCTTTCAGCAAGGTGGGAGAGAGCAGAACAGGCCTGCACTATGCCACTTGGGGAAGAATAAAGGGCAACTTTGTGCTCATTTGCCAGTTTCCCTGTATTTGTCAGTTTCAGTCATGTTCCACCTGACTCTAGGTGAGAAAGATGGTTGTCCAGTATCAAGTCGGAGTTTCACTTCTCCTACTGGACAGGACCTAGATAGTTATAGCATCACAACAGGGTCTGTTTCCTTCCTCTATTTCCAACCTGGTGTTTTTCTACATGATTCTTTATGTCACAGTATTTCTTACTTGGGAGTTGGAGGCTGCAGAAGACCAGTTAGAGAAGCTTAGAGTCCCAAAGTTGGACCCATGCCATTCTGGGTCCACTGATCTGATTGGTAGATTTCTTCCTGCTGATTGGTGACATCTGGAAAGGAGGTGGCAGCAAAGCTGAAGGAGAAACTTCCTGTAATGAGTTGTACGCTCACCAATCAGGGCAAGTGGCAGCAATGTCTTGGAAGAGATGTACTAGAGACAGGACTAGTACAATGGGGCAGTAGATGTTTTGCAGGGGATAAAATAGGAGGGCCACCTATAAACCATTGACCCATTCATGATAGATCACTTTTGCTGCCCCCCCCCCGCCCCACAAGCTGGCCTAGGGAGATCAAAGTAATGCAGAAGTAGGTATTTAGTTTCAAGCAAAGTTGACAACTTGGGATCACTTAATACCACTTGGTTATGTATTATTTATAAAGACATCTTCCTGGGAAAGTGTACAAATAATAATTACTATTGTTGGGGCAGTTTGGGGGGGGGGTTGCTTTATTTTAAAAAAGGTTTGTGTCCTGGACAGGTAATGGGTGAAGTCATAGTATCTAGAGTCATGCAAAAAGGGCATTTGGTCCTCATAAATTCTATATGGTTTAACCTGTCCATTCCATACTTGCAATACAGTATATATAATACACACCCATCTATACTGATATGCATAAAATGTACTAATATGTATAAAATGTACATATTTAAATGTTGATGATAAACACAAGACATCTCATCATAGTGCCATCAGGAAGCACTTCACCACCACTTGGAGTTCTTGGCATTGGTGAGTATAAGATGGGAATGGAAAATGTTTTTCTAAATAAATTGGGGAATCATGCATAAACTGCAATGTATGTCAGATGTAATGGCAATAGGTCATTTATCATATTTCTGCATGAGAAAGTTCTTAATAGTTGAATTCGTCTGCCATGAAGCTACAAAAGGCACTAGAGTCCTGCTTTATCCAGCGTTAATCAGTAAGAGGAGATAGGACCTAAGCTTCATTGGCTATAAAACTGATGGTCCAGCCAGTTTTCAACTGGCCATCCATTGAACTTAGGTGAGCAATATTGCATTCAAGACAGGGCTAGGATTAGTTATTTCAGAGCAGCCACTTCCAGCCTCAAATGCAATGGGCAGCCTGGACCCAGCATGGAATGGGAAAACCAACTCCCATCAGGACAAGCCTTCTTTGTAGTTCCAAAGCTGCTGTGGAGTTCCGGAGTTCAACGTGCTGGATGGAAAGGTCAGTGGTGCGGAGAACGGCTTCAGTGGGGAGGAGACAGCAGTGAGAGAGAAGTAGCAATGGAATCAGGACTTGACAGGTCAACCTTAAATGAGAGTGACCCTTGTCAAGAGTTGCCACAATTGCATTCTGTTGTACGGATGTCAGAACTATGTGTGTGTATCTTTGCTGTTGTTACAACCACATCCCAATCTTCCCCAACCTGTTTAAGTGGACTTGCATTAACTGCATATCTCTGCTTACAGTTCCAAATTTTGATGCAAGTGAATGGACAAGTGTGAAGGAGAAGCTGGGCTTGGACTTCCCAAATGTATGTAGTGGTTGTGGAATAGGTAGCAGTATGTTCCTGTTGATTGAGAGGGGATGTTGGATCAAGTTGCTGCTGCTTTTGTTATGATGGGTAGAAGTAGTGAGGGAAGAGTCCTGAGTAGTTGCAGAAGCAGTGATGTTAGGCAAAATGTTTTGACTGACTCTGCTTAATTGCAATTACAGTCTAGTTGAAAACCGGGATGGTGTGAGAAGAAAACATAAATCAGTCTAGAGTGACCTTGGCACTGTCACTAAAGTCCTAGTTTCTCACTTGAGCACCGTTAAAAATAAGCAAGAGCTGAGGGCAAAATACTATATCACCTGTAGAAATAATCCCCTAGCTGGATGTTTAACTGTAGTTAATTCTGTATTGAGAAAAGATGAAAGGACTGGGGGAATAATGGAGTATTATGTGCCAAAAGAAGGGAGGTGCTGTCTCAGGGGAACAGAGTAGATAAGATGAGAGAAATAATAGGTTTTTCCACTTCTGGTACTTCAATTTAGTCTCTGCTGAACCCAAAAGTTGTTATTTTGGCCACTGACAACTCTGTAAAAAATTATTATGTCCATGGTCTTGAAGTCCTAAGCAATGTTTTGGGCATGAAAATGTGAATTCAAGCCATTCTCAGAAAATCCTCCAGTTGGCACATTCCTAGATTTTAACAATGCTCCAATATTTGGATGCTGCAATAATTCATAATATCCCTCACATCCTTACTTTCCTCCTTTTCCTTTCCCCCAGCTCCCATATCTTATTGATGGTGAGAGGAAGATTACCCAGAGCAATGCCATCCTGCGATACATTGCACGCAAGCACAAGATGTGTAAGTGGTTCAGATTCCCCTTCAGTGTTGCCTTAAAAAGAAAATTATTTCTTTCAAATAATTGCCCAGAAGCAGATTCTTACTTTTGCAGGACATTGTGTTGCCACAGGTGGTGAGACTGAAGAAGAAATGAACAGGTTAGACATGCTGGAGAGCCAGTTCATGGATTTCCGAATAGGCCTTGGAAAATTGTGCTACAGTCCAGATTTTGTGAGTGTTGTGCTTTCTGATTCAATGGAATCAGGCTGTAACAGATGATCTGAAGATCAGTTTGGGGTTGTTTTGGAGTGAGTGGGCTGATTGCATAATTAATCAACTCTCTGTTCCTGGGGTGGGAAGGGGAGAGAAAAGTTCTGTGTTAGTTATTGAGCAGAGTGAAGGGAGCAAAAAGAGAAAAGTGGGGAATTGCTAAGTTCAAGGTTCCAAACGGCTTGACTATAAGCCAGCCTGTACATAGTTGTCTCTTCTTGCAGGAGAAACTGAAGCCTGAGTATTTGGAGTTACTACCTGGGAAGCTCAAGCAGTATTCTCAATTTCTGGGGGACAGGAAATGGTTTGCAGGAAACAAGGTATTTATGCTATAGGTGACCTACATAGAACCATGATATTGGATGCATTTTATTCTTCCATTTAAAATACTTTTTGATTATTAATTTTTCTAGCTCAGCTACGTAGATTTCATTGCTTATGATACGTTGGATATACATCAAATGCTGGAGCCAAAGTGCTTGGATCAGTTCCCAAATCTGAAGGAGTTCCTTCGTCGCTTTGAGGTGAAATGTACTCTGTCTTATACATGAATCTCTACCAATAACTACTGAAAGTTTGCAATAGCAAAGGGAGTATGATTTTCATCCCAATTAAGCCGGATTTCCCAGGTGTGAATCTAATAGTGCTCAAATGGGATGTAAGCCAGGATCTTTGCAGCAAAGTCAGCATGCAGCTTTTTAGGGGAGGAGCTAGGAATATTTATTGAGACCTATAGAAGAACTTGAGCAACCTAAATTCCTTCCAACTCTCTAATTCCCATACTCAGTAGCGGCCTTCTGCCATTACTGAAATGTCACATCATGTTAAGAATCCTTGGTAGACATTTATCCTATACAAAGTTGTTTCAAAGATAGCTATTTTATGTGTTGTAGCATGGGGGGGGGGGGGCTGGGATTTGAAGGCATTTCTTTTTCATTTTTCAGCAGAAAAAATGCTGAAGTAGAGGAGGAATATAGAGACCAAAGACAATAATAAAAACCCATGGTCTCTGCCTTTAGAGGGATGTGCGCATCTTGAAATTATTCAGAAGGGATGAGGCAAGGGAATAAACATGCTGCAGCTCTCCCTCTCTTTGTGCGGAAAGATGCATATATACAGAACTCAATTTTTCTGCCTCATTTGGGTTCTGTTCTGATGACATTTTCATAAGTTGCATTAAAAAGAATAGACTTTGCTAGCTTTTATTTCTTCTGAAAATGGTCAGTTCCTGCTGCAGTGACAAGGGACAAGAGCTTCCATGACCTTGGCAGGAGTTGATGACTTCACTGAGGTTCCTCTAATAGCCTTAAGGCAGTGTTTCTCAACCTTGGCAACTTGAAGGTGTGTGGACTTCAACTCCCAGAATTCCTCAGCCAGCATGCTGGCTGAGGAATTCTAGGAGTTGAAGTCTACACACCTTCAAGTTGCCAGGGTTGAGAAACACTGGTCTTAAGGTCTCAGCAGGTAGCAGCATCTGTCCACCCTTGCCTGGGCTCAGAAGCTAAACTGAATTGGAGCTATGGATGGGAGATCTCCAGCTTCAGGGAATCCCAAGGCTGTAGGTTAGACAGGGAAGTGGAAACACTCCAAAGAAGGCATTTAACACCATTTCTATACTGTCGCTAAGAAAAGGACATGATTGTGTGCAGTCACCTAGAGTCAAACTTGATTCAACAGCATCTTTACTTTTAGAGATCTGGGTTTGTAGGATGCCTGCTTAATGCATCATAAATCACTTTTATTTTTCTTGTGAGGGAAAAGGCTACTGACAATGATTAAGAAAAGGTTTGGGCTATGGTCTAGTCTTGCAACTTTTTTACCTCTTCCTGTTCCAATGCTAGAAACCTGTGTTTGATACATTTATTATTGAAGTTTTTCTTTGATTTGTGCATGTGAATGCTAGTTCTGGACAGATAGATTATTTTAAGGAATAAAATAGGCTATTGCTCCATAACCTTATCTTCCCCTCTCTCACATGCACTTGTGTTTTGGGTACTAGAGAAAATTGCATAATAGCTAATTTATTCTTCTCCAGAACATAAGTATTTGCTGTGTCCTTAGAGTAGTGTTTGGTTTTGGGGTTGAGTTGACACAACAATTTAATCAGCCTGGCAACCACCACCTGTCTTGGGACTGCAACATGCAGAATTCCCAGCCAACATGGCTAGCAGTATTCACTTGATTGTGGATTGTTTCTCAGCCATCTGAGAAATGTGGCTTTAAACAATTATGTGCTTTGTTTAAGTTTTGGCTTAGTGTTTTTTGAATCAAGCCACTGTGGTTGTACACCAAGGGTTATGGCTTTTTCAGAAAATCATCATTAATGCTATGTGTGAGCTCAGCCATTGTGTGCTACATGCCATGAAACTGAAAAGTCCTCACTTTTCACTGAATGGAGTAGAATGTACAGATAGTCTTAGCATGTGTCATCCAGTCCTTGCTGGAGAGAAAAAGATGTGCCATACCATAATGGATGAAATAGTGGCAAAAGTCTTGATCAACTTTGTGTGTTCTAAAGTTAGCATCTCTCTTATCATGCAAACACACAACTAATTAAAAGCAACAGCAATATAGCTTTTCGGATATTAAACAGACACTTGTGGTTTTGTTCATAAGTCTGGCTTAGACTGTTGTGCTGCATAATGACAACACTAGGCAATGACAAATATCCTTTTGCTGGCTTTCTCTGTAGGCCTTGGAGAAGATTGCTGCCTACATGAAATCAAGCCGCTGCATAAAGACTCCTATCTTTTCGAGTTGTGCCATGTGGGGCAACAAAAAAGTCTAGAGGAGACCACAAGCCTCACAGGGATAACAACTGTAGACACCGTGTGAATGAGAGACCTTGAGCCATTCATAATTCCTCCATACTTTCAAACTTTATTATGATTCTAAGACACATGTTCACCTAATAAAGAATATAAGGAACTGAAAAATAGTCGTTATTTCTTAATCCCTCCTTGGTCTGTTTCCCCACTTTAAATTTGGGCTCCAATGTTGCCAGCAAAAGAGGTTACTTTTTAATAATACGAACAGAAATGTTTCCAAATGGACTCTGGGTGCAAAACTATGTCAATCCATAATGTGTTTCTCCTGAGATACTGCTTCCTTCAACAAGAGAAAGGCAGATTAAATGCATGAGGAGCGCTTTCATACTGCCACTGTTTCTATTCCCCAACCTCTACAGTTTAAAAAGCCATCTGTCTTCACTTGTTGACTCCGAGAAAAGGAGCAAACCTCACTCCCCCTGCCCCACCAGCTGCCCTAGTTCTTGCAACAAAGGAAAAACTCTCTCTCTACAGAAAGGAAAGCAAAAAACTAGGCAGCTCAGGCGAAAGAAAGGAGATATTGACAAAGTAGCATCAATTCCACCCTGCTCTCATTCTCTGAGAGAGAAGAAGAACTGGATTTGCTGGAGCAGCTGAAGCTCTGGAAAAAGAGGGAAGGGGGAGGCTCAGCTGTCCTACTAGGCCACTCGGCTGGGTGGCCTCCAGTGGCTCTGAGCCAGCCCTCTTCTATTCTGCGGCCCAAAATGCTTCGCGGCTGGGCATATCAAGTTCTCCTGCAGCAGCTGCGGAAGCCGCCCACCCAGGAAGACCTTCGGTGCAGGTGGGCCAAGGTCTCTGGAAGTGGGCAGCTACAGCAGGGGCAGCTAGCAGGAGATTCCCATTCTGAAGGCCCCACAACAGGTGCCAGAGCTGAGCAATAGCAGCTGCAGCATGAAAAGCAGCTGCTGCTGCTGCTGCACATTCACCCTGAAGCCCACTTGGCATGTACCGAGGGCTCTCCAAGGCTGGGCCAGTGATGCTAAGTGGCAGCGATGATGAAGTAGCCAGACCCTCCCCAATCCTGCTGTAGTGTCCTAATTAGTGGGGGCTTCTCCTTGCTGGTTGTTGACCTGCAGAAGTGTGACGATAGCCAAGCCAGAGGAGAAAGCTACAGAACAGCTACAGAACAGCTGCAAACATTGGAAAATCAGGATTTACAATGAGATGGCTAATTTCACAGCAGCGATGGGTGGATAGCCCTTGGATTCCATAGTGGGAAAATTGAGAAGGCAACATACAATTTTCCGCAGGAATTGAGAAATCTGAAATCCCTTCCCAAGACTATGAACTGCATCCCCCTCTTTTTTGGGGTGTGTGTGTCTGCATATTATAAAGCTGTTTTGGATAGAGCATCTACTTCTGATGCTGGGACATAACTATCATGGTCAATTAGATACATTCTTGAATATGATTTATAGAGTTTACCAGCCAATTAAGATTTAATACAGCAGAAAGTAACTTCCCCCCTTCCCAACCCCAAACAATTATTTCTTCCAACTGAACAGGAAACATTTTCCATAATGAATTCTAGAATTGCCACATACACAGCTTAAGTAATTATTTTGTTCTTTTGCATTTTACTTGTTCTGTTCAGTCTGTGTCATAACTTTTGCCCTTTGCCAAAACATGTTGAAAGAATGAACCTCACTGTAATAATGTGCAACACTGTATCAAGGGGTGAAAGGCATTTCATCACGGCATACAAACTGTGCCAATGAACCTGGGGAAAGTCAATACAGAAGAATTGAACCAGCTCAATGAATTTGTGCTGTCTAGGGCTCTGCACACATTTGGATGAAAAACAAAAAAGTAGAACAAGGGATCAATGATTCCATTCCAGCAAGTAGAATCATGTAGAATCATGTGGATGAGGAAAAAATGGGATCCTGTAAAAAGTATTTTGAAAATATCCCTAATTTAAAGTGTCACATTAGGGCAGCACCTAGCAACTTTGACTGATTTGGAAAATGCTAAACAGTCAAACCTGGTTAGTACATGGGCAGGCGATCAGGGGCATCTGCAGGGTATGGTCAAAAAAGTCAAGATGATCACTGCAATGGTGCAACTGAAATTCTGCTTTTTTCTTTTTTTAATGTGCACTGCAAATGCGCATAAGCATGGTTCTGATTACACCATCATGGCCACCATCTTGGCTTTTTTGACCACACCCTGCAGAAAATCCAAGATCTCAGAAAAAGACTTTGGCAAACCACCTCAAACCGTGTTGCCGAAAGAATTTCAAACCCTGTGGTTCAGTCCCGCTTCAGACCACGTTTTTCTGCTTTCAGCTAATGCCACAGCCTTTGCCATTTTCAGCCAGAAATCACGATTAGAAAAACACAAGACAAAACTGTTAGGGAAGGAGGGCACAGAAGATTGGAATGCCATTTCTGCGGGTCCTGGTCTCCCCCTTGGCTCTGTAAAGGCCGCACCAATCACTTGCCATGGATTTCGTACCTAACTGACTCCGCTCAAAGTCCTTTTCGGTCCCTGAACTTGGACCTTTTACTAAACCATCTTTATCAGCTTCGGGAATTTTAGAAGCCGTTAGCAATATTTCTCATTCACCTTTACAACAAGATACGCAAAGAGTCGCTGCTGGCGCTGGATCAACCTCCGCAGCTCTAAGGGGACTCGAGGCGAGTTTCAGAAGGGCGGTTCAAATTCCACCGTCCCCCAGACTCAGCAAAAAAGGCTCTTTCACGCCGGCGGCGCAGGAAAAGGCAGTTTTAATTAACTGTTCTCGTATTGGCCTGACTCTCTCGACGATCAAGGCGGCACGTCAGCAGTTTGTTAAGCCCCGCCCAGGCGGTTTCTGCTGCTCAGGCTGCGGAGTTAAATTTCCCGCGAAGCAGAGGGTCAACACTGGTGGTAGTGGGAGACGCGAGGAGCTGCAGGGCCGTGACGATGATTCTGGGCTACTGGGATATCAGAGGGGTGAGTTTCTTGCCCAGAAAGCGGGGGATGGGCTTGCTTTCTCAGGTTGGAGCTCGTGCTGTGCAAGACTTCGGCTCCGCCGCCCCCTTCTCGTCGCTCCCACCAGTGGTGCCCGCGGGGCTCCCGGTTGGACCCGAGGCGTGCAGGAGCCTGGCCGCCTCTCCTGCGGGGGCTCGAGCCGACCGTTTGGAAAGGAGGGGAAGTGCCCCTCTGCGCCCCAACGGGTGCCTTCCTCTGCCTGTGGGGGAATGGAAGGAGAGGCGACGGCCTCTCGGGCCTCTCGTGGCCTTTCTCCGGTTCCCGGCGAGGCATTTGCCAGCCGGGCTGTTGCAGACCCAATGGGTTTCTCCTGCACGCGTGCGTTTGCTCCGGTGGCAGGTGCCTGCTTCGGTCTCCTGAGCCTGCGGGCCGAGTGAGCTCGCTACCTGAAAGGAGCTCGCTTCCTCCAGCTAAGTCTGCCCGGGCCTCTTCTTTGTCTTGAGAGAGGAGAGGGGTCTGCCGGCCTATTGAATAGAGTTGGGAGTCGGATCTAAATAAACGTTGCCGGGGTTGGGCTGCAGAGGGAAGATGTGCGTAAAAATGTCCACGTTAAAGCAGGTTAAGCTATAAAAGGTAGCTTTTCCCATTGGTCCTCTGCCACTTTTTTCTCACAGTGATATCAGGTGGTCTTTCTTGGAAGAATCTCTCTTCCAAGGCATAGGTCAGTCTTCTTTTTCCTGACCCATAGATAAGGGTAGAGAACATAAATTCACTAAGTAAATTCAATACACAAATAAACAACAAACTTCCAGGCTGTATACTACCTCCTACCTTTCAAGATCCCAGTTTAAAGTCAGTAGGAAATCCTTTTCTTTGTTGCTTTTTCACAAAACAAAACCACCACCCAAGAAGGATATTTAGTGTGTGGCTCCTGGCCCAGAGAAGTTGCCTGCCTTGTCTATGTGTGAATACATGGAATTTGAAAAATGGTAACTACTATGTGTTTAAAGTGTGTATGTGAAACAGAAATCTCACTTTTTTGTACTGATGAGTTTGGGGAATATGTAGGCCATCTGTGAACCATTCCTCTCCTTGATTTCCCTATTATATTAATAAAGGAAAATAAGTTTTGTTAGAAGCATTGGAAAGGATTGAAGGAGCTCAAAGTGATATGGAAGAATGATTAACAGGATTTTAGTAGCAGTGTTTCCTGCTGAAGGGGTTCTAGTTCATCCAGCCTAAATGAAGATCCTCCAAATATGTTGGACTACAGTTTCTGTCACTCTGCATGACTCTGCTGAGTAAGGATAATAGAAATTGTTTTAATGCAATGTAACTGGGGAGCACCTGGTTGGGGAACACCGAACATATGTTTTTCCTCTACCAATTAGTGTAATAGTTTTGAACCCCTTCTTTCTGGATCCCCATGGGGATCTTTTGCTAGTTACCAAGCATGACATAATATAGATCTGGTCTTGGCAATGAGGAAGGAATGTGCAAATCATTGAGGGAGGAGCTCAGTGTTGAGGAAGATTGAAAAGAAACTCAAAATAACCCTGCCTTGATTTTGCTTGGTATGAGATGGAGTAGTGAGAAACTCCAACAGGCTTTCAAGTGTCTGGCATTCTACCTTGTAAAAATAAAGAACATTCCTGGAAATTGTTGAGTTGACCTTGTCTACTTCAAAGGGCTGACATCAGATTTCTTCCCATCTTGTGAAAAGTATATGAGAATGCTAGCTCTTCCCCACCCATCACACAGCATTTTTGCTTGTTTTCTTTACAGCTTGCCCATAGCATTCGACTGCTGCTTGAATACACAGGAACACCTTATGAAGATAAGTTATACAGCTGTGGAGAAGGTATGTGTGCCTTGCTGAGTTTGGTTTGTAATGAAGTCCTCTCCTCCCCTTTATTTCCTTCTGTGAATATAAATTGCTGTTGAATGTAAATATCAGATCAGCCTTTCATTCAAAAGAAATTGTATTAGCTTCTAGCTATCATTTTGAGTATTCCGAAGACAGTATGTGTGTTCTTATTCTATACAAAAGTATAAAAGTATATAAAAGTATAAAACTTTGCTATAACCAAGAAAAGCAGAATAAATTACTCCAGCGTTCCTTGAGTTACCCTAAGGTAGGGTGGAACACACAATAATTAGATGGAGCTGCATATTGAAAGCTGGGTTGTTAC